TACTAATCTGCCACGTGCTTACCAGTGAATGATACATTACTTGATGTGTAATAACAAAGTCAAATAATAATTGTACTTTTATTTTTATCAAATTTTTGCTTTATTTTGATTTGTTGAATTAAATAAATCTGGAGAGTTTCTTATTTTAGTACAAAATGATTTTTGTACTTGACAAAATTTTTATTGAATTTCTAAGTTTTAAAATTGTGCTAAATATAAAATATTAAAGAATACAGTTTTTTAAAGATATATAATTCTAATTATATCTTTATTCTAATTTAAAATATTATTATTTAGTTATGTAAATAATATCTTTAAATTAATTGATATAATTAATAAATATTTAGCAAATTGTTTGCAAATATCATTAACTTCCATCAATTATCTTGTGACATATTATGACTTAAAACAAAATACATAAGTGTTAAATAACAAACATGCTAATATTACTACAAAATCACCCTAATAAAATAACCCATAGATATACAGTTTTATAAACAAAAATTCCAATCAATTATATAATGACAAATATGTTAACTACAATTTACTAAAATTTACTGCAATTTATGCTCTTGATATTACAAATTTGTCTTTGTCTATACTACTCTTGCATTATTTAAAAATGAGACATTTTTGTTCTTTTGTTTTTTAAGAATTTAATGTATCTTAATTAATTTTAATTATTTTATTTTAATTTCTTTTAATTAAATCTAGCTCTATTACTAAATCTATAAGAGAAATATTATCACTTCATACACCTAGTTTTAATACAAAATCAATTTCATACGATAATAAAAAAATTATTTTTATGTAAATAACAATTTTCATAATCGTTGAAAAATTATTATTTTATATCTGGGTTACTAGTAATTAAGTCGATGATTAAATTTTAACCCTCATGGAACCGAGAGTTTCTGCATCCCTTATTCTACACTCCGCACTTTAAGGTACCGTTACAATCAAGCCAGATTCAGCTGATCCTGGCTGTACGCAAGAAATTACAGCTTAGATTGAATCGCGTATAAATGAATGTCGTGTAATTACACAAACACAGTGTAATCAGGAGACAGTTCGGAAAGTTTAGATTGGTCATACTCATCTCGATGCTCTGCTTACAATTATTACAAGTATCTCTCACGCTTGGGGAGTCACAGAAATACCAGGCTATAGTATCTTATGGTTTTCAGCAGCTTGTAGAAACAGATTTAATATTTGTCAAAATACTATTAATGCCTGCCAAGCAATCTATAATAATCTATAAATACATAATACTAATATTAAACTATCAAAAACTAAAAACAAATGAATCATTCTTATAACCATAATTGAATAACTTTTAAATAAATTACTAGTAAATTATAGTAATTGATTGAATTATACATCAAAAATAAAAATTAAATTAAATTGTGGTAATTAAATTAATTGCTGGTCAATTTCATCAGTTAATCACTTTTTATCGATAACTATAACGATTGAGAATGAAATATAAAAGTAATATAAAAAGAAACTTTATTTATTTATTTATTTATTTATTTATTTACTTCTACTGTGGGGAGGGTACAGGCAAAGCACCTTTTAATATGAACTATCAGAAGACTATAAAGAGAATGATTTTATCGACCAATGAACTATTTAGCCTATTAAGGTAATAATTGCTAACTGCATAACCGACTGCACCCAATTGTTTATATGTCAGTAACTTCAAAAAAGGGAAGTTGTATTATGTGAGGTCGCTAGTGCACAATGAATAACGTATGATAATATTACTGAAAATGAAGTACAAGATAAACTAAATTTCTCACCTTATAAAACTTCATGTACCTTATGAGATATAATTTCCTAACATACCGATCATAGTAAAAAAATTAAAGATTTAATGTAATCTAAAATTTAGAGTGGCAGATTTAGGAATTAATTTCAATCCAACATTGAAACTCGTAAAATCAATACATTTATTGTTCAAAGTAGTGGTATAAATATTATCCCAAATTTAACACCGCAATGATATAAAAATAATAAAGTGATAATTAATAATAAAGTGAACCTTAAAACTGTCCCTCTTAAAATTGAAAACCGTGAATAATTATATTTCCCTATTATAATCATAAAATAGTTTTATTATTTTATAATCTAAAAATTAAAATATCGTAATCAAAGTGACAAATATAATTCAAATAAAGAAAATTTACAAAATCAATATAATTAAGATGAAACGATCAGCAAAAAAGTTAAAATAAAATGTCTGGCAGTTTGAAAATAGTTTAATAAATAATAAATAACTGCTTTCGACTTAGATTTTATCATTGAGGTTGAATTTGACAATATCGTCCATGGCGATCAACTGGACACACTGAATTGTCGAAATAATATCGAACATTTTTTGACATCACGTACCATAGTGTGTCTTCAGGGGTGGTCACAAATAATCACTAATAAGTTTCCAAATATATTTACAAACACTTAACTATAAATTTACGTATGCAATTACGTATGAAATCGAAGGAATGGCCATATGATTTCGCGTGCAATTAACGATATATTTTCGCATATGGCCGCGAGGTTATACACACGATTCCCTAATTAATAGTTAATGCGTTTATACGTCGATCTACAAGTTATCACATTTTCCCGATTATTAGTGTATACCAAGTTTAACGCATTCGCGAATTTTCACGTATTAATTTATGATTATTCTATCAATTTTTTGCGGAGTAATTCACTTCTACACTTCTACGTTTTGTTACTAAATTTCGCGCGCGTTTTGTTCTTTGTCATTGGAAATATTAACATTTGCGCATGTGTAGGTACTCAACTGCTCATGCGCACCTGTATATAAATAAATATATTTATATTTCTACGCATAAATAAAAAAATTTCGAGAAAAGAAGAAAAGTATTAAATAATGCAAATGAAAATATAAATGCAGAAAAGAATTTTGACATATATATAACATAAAAATTTTTATTATAGAAACGTAAATACAGTTTTAATTTGCAAAAAATATATAAATTATTAAATATTATTATTCATAACAAATTAATGTTATTAATAATAAATTATTTAAAACATGAATTTTGAATATTTATTTATAATAGGAATTTTAAAATTAATAAATCATAAATTATTACAGCAGAATAACATAATAATAAAATTATAAGTAATTATCATTGAAATCGGCAATAATCGTGACTTTTCGGACGACATCGGCAGGTAATGGCTGTCTATATATAAGCTGTGGTGCCACAGTTCTTATTTAATTGTCATTCGACCTTGTGTCAGGCTACAAGAATAAGGATTTGTAATTATGATAAAAATCTGAATCTAAACAATATTGACAGTAGTCGTTAAATAATATTATAACGAATCAAGATTCAAGATTTAATATTCAATAAGTTAAAAATGCGTAAGGAATTTCATACATTTTCACATACACACTTTCTCTCTGGCTTCAATGCACTTCGAGGAATAGTTCTTTAAACAGTCGTCGTTCTTGTATAGAGGGCACTATAATCAGTTGCATATTTTTAATTCGATAAGGTAGACAAAGTTAAGCTAGGAAAGTCCATATAATGTTAGATCTATTCTATACCTCTTCTGTCATAAAAGCATGCATGTAACGAAAGTTATAAATGACACCAAACTCATTCGCTTTTACCTCTGACTAGCAGGTAAACAATAACGCCACTCACTGGATAAAAAGGGAATACTAGAGCCATCTAACGCATTATTTTACTATTACCACTTATCAACGCTCGACAACAAAGAAAACCTCAATGTAAATTTAATTAATATCTAATTGTTAATCATTTTAGTGCAATTCTATTATAGAACTTTATAAATCTTTAATGAGTTCTTTAACCCAATGTAGAATTTTGCTAATTAAATTATTATAATACGTAAAAATTGTTTATATCATTTTTTGTTAAATTGGCAAAGGTTATGATCCTATTTTCCAATTAAAAAACAATTGCAAATGTTCATAACTTATTATATCTATTATTTATAACTTATAACTTATTACTATCTTAAAAGAATTTTATTAATGCTAACGAATTAATAAACCTTTATGACGAAAGTATATAAAATCATGTGTTATTTTACACGTTTCAATCTTTATTAAAAATATTGAAAATAGTGAACATGGTAATTAAGTGATCAATTCCTACAAATATATAACTGTTAACCATTTGTTTCTTTTTATAATATATTTCTTATATTATAAATTTAAGTAATAAAAAATATCTGATACTTGAATCCCATCTGGAATAAATCTCACATCCTTTTATGATTAAAAATGAATTAATTATTCCTTAAAATATATTTCAAAATTTTAAATACAATTGTATTATATTATGTTGAGATGTAACAATAAAAATCATTTACAGTTTTAAAACATGAAAAAGTTACATCTTGTATTTAACGATAGAATCATAAAAATTTTTTGAATGTGTGAAAATAATCTTATACATAAATAAAATAAGTAACCTCGTGTATAGTACGTGGTTTTATCGTTTTAACGTTAAATAAAAATCAAATATTCGAAGTATATTGCGAATAGAAAATAAATTTACTATCATACATGCTATAAAAAGTACATTAACACGAAAGTCGTCTGTCGATGAATTCAAGAACAAAAAATAATAAAATGTCCAAGAGAAAGTTACTGTCGATACGCTCGGTTGGTTACGAAAGAAAACTCAAAGATATTTCGTACATATTTCCACACTTATCTTCACGGAGAAATAAGATATTTACAAAGGCATTTCCTGACAATATTTTTCATAACGAGTGTTTCGTATAATGATTTCCAGGAATTTGTTACAGTTAAGGTGACAAAATATAGGTATCGAAATAATAGGTGTTAAAATGAAATACCAGCAAGTAACATGAATAAGATAAAATAGAATTTATTATTTATGAACATTCAAATGTCTAAACACACACATGATTACACACTAAACGAGGATGACATGATCTTGAGATGATATCGAGATCCCGATGCGGGACATATAAATTTAGAACATTTTTTATGCTTTCTTGTCATCATCCTTGTACCAATCCTCACTAAAAAAAAAAGATGTAATTTCTTGATTAATTTTACTCCTAATCTTAATATGACATATATAAAATTTTGATTTAAAAAACATTATTTCTATCTTACTCTTTTACAGATGCATTTCAAAATTTGTTTATTTATCAATTAATACTATTAAATTATTATTAGATTATATATAAATTATACATACCAGCCAGGGACATTTTCAGGTGCATCGCATCTTTGTTGATCCTCATTATAAACAGTTCCATCACTACATCCTTGTTCACGTGGTGTTACGCCATTCAAACAGACATAAAATTTCTGACAATCATCTGGATGGGCAAACTTGGGATGATCGACGACCATTCCCCTTGTATCAACTTGACTTTCTTTAGGACACTCGAAACCATCTTTCAACTTCTTGTCTACCACTCCACATCCCTACAGCGATAATTAATTTTCATTTATTATTTAACCTAAACCAAAAATCAAGATACCGTATTACCGTAACTTTCGTCAATAATTAATTAGTTTCTAAACCACCACTATATTCAATTGATCTGTAATGGAACACGCGCAATAGATCTGAGGCAAACAATGTAACTAGTCGTGCTGTCGATAAGTGAGCAGTTCCGCACCAATAAGATTTCGCCAATCGTTCCGCGATTGTAATTGGCCACGCGATGTATAAAGTAGTCGCATACATATTCGACCATTGTGTCTCTCATCTTAGTATCTCAGTAACACCAGACATACTAATGCCTTTAGAGATTTCGATCTATTGCAATCGTGGACCAGTCGCACAAAGTTACATGAAATAAATGCTAGTAGTGTTTACGTATTGAGATTAAATATAGCCAGATACTGGTCTGCAGAAACAAATGACAATCGCGGATGTGAAATATGGGACAACATTTACTTCTCGACCAGCACTGTCCGGCCAGACACATGTGCCGCTATATTCGTCGAAATGCAATCCGGTGGTACACGTAATTTCGATAGCCTCGCCGTCGATGCAATTGTAGAAGATATTACAGACAGATGGGTCTGGATGAGCAAAGAAACCGTTTCTTCGCGGACACTTCTTGGTCGGTTGTGGTGGTTCTGCGAGGAACAGAGACATAACGGGAATTAAAATCACTTTCATTACCTATCGTCATCGTATCCTGTATGTCAAGGACATTAACCGCAGAAGCCAATGACACGTGTAACGTGTCGTACCTGGCCAGCTCAATTTTATTCCAACGAGTATGTTTCCAACATTTGATACAAGTATTTATTGCAAGAATATGGAAAATAATCAAATTCTCAAGGCCTAGAGTCTATCCAATATTTTTCTATTTTATCGTACTACGAAATTATTATTATTATTACATTTTTTCAATATATTATAATTATGATAATTATTATAGAGGATTATAGTGATGATCTTACGTAATTCAAGACGATCTCCGCAGTCAACGTTGAATACGTGATCGCATTTGTTCACTTTACGATTCAGAGGATCGAAAACAAGACCATCTGGACAAAGTTTCTCCGTGGCGACGCCATCGATGCACTCGTAGTATTTGTCGCACTGCTTTGGATCCTCGTATTGGCCGTCTTTACTCGGGCAATTGAATGCACCGTCTATAACGAGTTTCACATAAATGAAAGTTTACTCTCTTTACGTAGTGATGAAATTTTCTCCGAGTTCTTTCCAAATGCAATTCTAGAAACACCGATTCGTTAGTCGAATCCTTGATGTATGTCCTCTAATATTTGAAGGTATAATTATAAATTATATTCTTGTTAATCTATTAATTAACTAATATTTAAAACCGAATAATTTAATTTTATAATTATTAGAGCACATGAAAAATAATATATCTAAATTACAGGAATTAGAAATTTCATCACATAATAGAGACGTTGAAAGTTGTGTATCTGTGGGACCTAGTTTCATTTGGTAAAAATTTGGAATACAAAGAACGAAAGAAACTGGACAAAATTTCTGAAATTTCTCCACGTTACTCGGAGCATTTACTTTGCCAGATATACCGGAAATCAATGCCACGGTTCGAGAAGCATATAAAGTAGTTGCTGAAGTGGCGTGGCATATGCAAGATAGTCTAACTCGATCCAACATATCTTCTCTCTTTGCTGCATGAATCCTTTGATCGAAGTGATATTGTTTTATTTCTTTATATAATTTATTGGTTTACATGTTGTATAGAAACGATAACCGCTGCAGATACTTATGCAACTCCGGCAAGCAGTAGATCTGACATTTACGCTTTAGAAAGTTTAGCTCGACTGTCTCTTACGCATTCTCCAGACGAAATGAATACCTTGAGGAACATGCTAGAGACACGAACGATTTTTCATCGTGGGATGGGCGACGAGTTTTCGATATTTAAATAGTTATGAAATTTTACCGGTTTGTACTCGACGATTACGATACCGGAAATTCAGTAGTATTTTAGAAGCTGCGGCAAACCGTTGCCGAGAAATGAAGAGAAAGTCTGAGATCTGTTTCAGTGAAACCATTCTTTTCCCTCGCGGTAATTAGCATGCACTGCTTTTTGCTTTTAGTTGAATACGTGCAATATAAATTTGCGAAACTTTATGCTTGCTCGGACGATTGCACCTTGCAGTATTAAAAAAAGCAGTGACTGTGTAATCGGGGGAAAAAAATTGAAGAATTTTTCAGCGGCAGAAATAAAAAGTGTAAAAGTACGTTTTGCGTGAGTAAATTATTTTAACCTTCCAATTATTTTGATGAGAATTACGTGTATATAAATAATAATGAAAATATTAATATAATCATTAGTATTCAAAATATGGGATTGTAATTTATAGTGTAATTTAATCTGAAGATTCGAATAATGAAGCATTGTAAATATTGTGACAATGAAGACAGAATTAAGTATTTTATTAGCAGAAACAAAATTACATGAGGCCCAATGAAAAATATTTTTCTCAGCAATTTTAACGTCCACGATTTTTATTATTGAAAATATTTGATTCCAGATCTCGCAGGTAGAGTTCTTAGAACAATACTTACGCGTCACAGCAACCACAGCCAATATCGCCACGAGGGATTCTCTGATCATCTTTATCCTTTATTTTCTCGACTTTGACGTAAGTGCGAATCACGCGATTTGGGAAGAGGATTATTTCGGGCACTGGTCACTAAGGGACGAAAATCTGTATTTTTTGGTCCCCCTTTGAAATGGTGTCTCCGTCGCGAAACACTGCAGCTCTTCAGCAACTCACCACGGTGTATACCCCGTTAGTCCCCACTACACCCAATGTCTCTTCCCCACTTTCGCTTCGTTTTCATAGATGGATAACCGTCTAGAATCAAGATTGATCGGAGGGACCACGCGCTTTTACCCTTCTTTCTCTCTTCCCGGCACCGTCGACGTTGTTCATCTTCTTCCTCTTCTATGCGGCGTACTCTCACTTCTGCGTCCTTCGCTATTCTTTGCGGAAAAATTCAAATTACCGCGATCTTTACCAATGATCGTTGCATTCTTCGGATGTTTCGAAATACAGGTAATTGCAAAGTTATCGACCCGCTGTGCTTTTCATATGCTTACGTTATTCCGTGTACTTTATTCGCGTAATTAAACTTTTAATGAAGTATAAATTTAATTTTAAATTTGAAAAAGGAACAGTGTAAAATCGATTTAAAAGTTACTTACGTAATTTAAAGTTAATTGTCAACTTATATAAATTATTTTAAATTCGATGGATAATTTTGATGGATAATTTGAAACTAATCTTGAATTTAGATAAATAAATTTTATTTTATTTTAAATTTGAAGAAGTAATCTAAAATTAATTGGACAATTGAATAAATAAGTTGTAATTAATTGAAAATTTATTCTTAACTTGAATAAAGAGGTTTAAGCAAATAATTTAAATTTCTTTAAACGTTTGAAGTAAATAGTTGAAATGTATTTCTAATTTCAAACAATTTCTAATTAATTTAGAATTTTGGTAAATAATTTAAAATTAATTTAAAATTTCGATAAATAAATTTTATTTTATTTTGAACTTTTAAGAAGTAATTTAAAATTAATTAGTAAATTAGTAATTAGTAAAATTAATTGATAAACAATTTCTAATTAATTTAGAATTTTGGTAAATAATTTAAAATTAATCTAGAATTTCGGTAAATAAGTTTTATTTTATTTTAAACTTTTAAGAAGTCATTTAAAATTAATTAGTAACTTGAATAAATAAGTTGAAATTAATTTAAAATTCATTTTTGATTTTAGTAAATAGATTTAAGCAAATAATTTCACAATTGGTGTAATAACGATTTAAAAATGAAGCGTTGGACTGTGCATGATGCTATTTATACCGATTATTTCGATTCAATTAATACAATACTTCTATTTAATGAATACAATATCGATTTCATTATTGAACGCCAGAATTTTTTCTCCACACCTGCACCCACAATATAATTTCGTGCGAAACTAATATCGCGGCCATTGCAGCATGTGTTTTTTCTGATAACACTTTCATCGTGTTACATAAAATCGATTCGGATTGACCATTACGAAAGCGATGCTAAATTAATTTTATCACGAAAGCATCACGGTCTGACCCACTGCTCGATCCAGCGGATTTCGGAAGCGTTTCCCGTGAAATGCGAGGAACTTTCTGGTTTCGATCACTTTCACTGCTCACGGAAATTTACACTCGATTTGGATTCACTACCAAGGCGAAAGAAAAAGGCAAATGCTAACGAGATGCCAACTGATAGATACGAATACTACGATAGATCTAAACATCATTGAAAAGCATTAATCGCTGAATTTTGTTGGTACACAATAGCAGAGAATCTAATTAACAACGTGAGTCTACATTTATGTACGGTAATTTTATAGAAAATTATCATTGACATATCGACAATGGCGTAGAATTAATATTCGCAACTGCTTTCAGATGTCTTTCATCCTAATTCCCACGAGATTATTGAAAGGTTCCAATGAGTAGCGAAAACTAATAAAGCGAGAACTTTCACTCGAGTTCACGTTGACAATCTCATAGTCATCCACCAGTGCACGTGAAACTACCGGAATTCAGTTGTAATGGTGACCAGAAATCTTAATTACAGCCTCGTTCCTTGCAAGAAAGATAGTCGTATTAAAAATGGTTTATTTTCCAGGTGATATTTAACAAGTCAGTAAACATTAGGATCTACATATGAATTTAGCCTTAAAGCTACGTCGGTTTGGCGCCTTTTCTTCTGCCATGTCCACCGGTAGGTTTCGGCCTCGGCGGTGGGTTTTCCAAGGCATCCAATTCCTCGTCAGTCAATTGGCCTTTGTACCAGTCTTTGCTAAAATTTCACCGCGATACTCGTTAATTTCCTGAGCTAAATAGATTCAAAACGTCTAACATGCAACGAATATGGAGTAATCCTTTGTGACTTTTCAGAATGACAAGAATTCCCTGCTGATCATTCGTCCGTATCGAGGATCCAGCAATTATCAGTGAGTTATGAACTCACAACTCACCATTCGGGTATTTTCCTTGCCCAATCACATTTCCCAGTTCGCTCGTCGAAAGCTTGGCCTAATTTGCATCCGCTTCTCCTAGGTACCTCTCCGTTGACGCACACGTAGAAGTATTGGCAGTCCTCCGTGTCTGGATAACGTGGATGCGTGGCAGCAGTGGCATCGTCGACTTTGGGACACGTGAAATTGAACAATTCCCTAGAACCACAGCCTTTCTTCTGTGCCTCATCCGGCCAATTGCAGATGCCAGTCTTTTCCGAGAAGACCAGGCCGTCCGGACACGTGATCATGTTAAACTTTCCTTCGACACAGTAGTAGAACGTGTTGCATATTCTGGGGTCCTCGTGAGCGAAGTAGCCGTGCATTCTTGGACAATGCGGAGAGGGTTGTGGTTTTTCTGTAATCGAACATACGTATAATAAGTTGATGGAAACTCTTCAGAAGAGGCGACACAATGCTTACGTAATTTTGGCCTTTTTGTACAGTCGATTCCGAATGGGAGATCGCACTTCTCGTGTTGGGGACTGAAGTCGTTGAATACGAGACCATCTGGACACAGTTTCTCTATAACCTTGCCATCTCGACAGTCGTAGTACTTGTCGCACTGACCCGCGTCAGGGAAGAAACCATTGGGTTCAGGACACTGTTCAGAGAGTTCTTCTTCATCCTCGTACTCCTCCTGCTCCACTGACACGGGTTGCTGCTTCTTCTGCAACGCTGGCAAAGCTGCTTTCCTGCGACTCTGCTCGAGTGATTCTTGCTTCCTCGTTAAGGCGGTAACAACACCTGGAAGAACCAAATCCCACGATTATGCGACGTTATATCACTATGAACATCTGGGCTATCAAATATGTACGTGCTATTCGAAAGCTCGTGATTGCGATTTGTCTCGCGTTGCATTTCGATATATCTTTAAATTACATCTCTTCTCTATGTTCTTGGTCTGCAGGAGACGCGAGTTTAGCTTCAACCCGGAGACGGAGTCTGTTTTTATCGTTTTCCTGAGAGAAGGTGAGGCTGCACAATGCGGATGCAGCGGCGCTAACAGCCAGGAATAATTTGAATAAAAAATACAAAGAGGAGGGAATAAAAACGGTGAATGGCGAGAGAGGGTCAACTGGTCGGAGTATTTTCAAGGCAGCGCGACGTCTTGCGTCCCTGAATAAACGCCGGTTGTACGTAAACGCCGGTCGACCTCGCGAACGGAAGAAAGCGAGAAAGTGCCTGGACTACCGTGTGTGTCTGCTCGGCCAGAACTTAAATGTCGCTTAATCGCTCAGACCTGTTAGCTTTCCAAATCTCTATATAGACTTCAATGCGTTTTGAAGTTCTTAGATTCGATTCTACGCCTAGAATTCACTGTGCAACCACTGCAATAGAAATCGATAACTCCTTATTCCTAATTGCATTATCGTTGAAACGAGGATTTAAGTATGTATCGATACAAATTTAGTTATGTGAAATATGTAACGACAGCAATATTTTATAATCAATCATATTATAATCAAGGATCCATATTTAAGTATCTTAGAATGTAGGATTCAATGTGTAACCACGGCCATAAAATCGAGCATATACTCTGTAATTAATTGTATCATTACTAAGAACTCGTCGGAACGTTTAGATGTTTAAACATACAATGTTTCAAAAAATTGCAACAATACCAGATTTGCTATGCAACCATAACAGTGGGAATTCGGAATACTTTGTAATTAATTACATTCTTTCTGAGAATTGTTGTCTAGGTATTTAGCAGAGATGAGAATTCGAGAAAATATTAAAGGAAATTTTGACATGAATAATCTTAGGCTAAGTAAATAAATGACACTGCGCAAGGGAAGGTATTCTGTAAAAGAAATTGAGGATTTTCTTCACTGGAAAGTGAACTGAATTAAATGGACGGCTGCTAAATATTGAACGTTTTTCGTCTACACGTGCTTTGGAGAAATGAAACTTTCTATGAGGAGCATTAAAGCGAACGGATTTCTCAATAACAAACGGTGGCGTAAGTCCTTTCGTGGTTAGATAGGGATCACGTATCCTCGTAGAATGTATCAATCAAATTATGAATGAATCATGCGAATTCTATGAGACAATTCGAACAATATGCATCACATAAGCGAATCGAGGTCGAAATTTCCATGTTGTATCTGTATTTTCTCACACGATCAAACGGATACAATAAATTATTACAAATTTGCAACAAAATGAAGATAGAGCGAGCATACTACGATATACGTGTCATAGCAACTGGAACGGTGGCAACAATCGAGGCAGCAGCTGAATCTACATAGCTATAAGTAAAACAATACCTCTGATAAAGGTCACTAGTCAAACTGGGTGTCATTTTAATATTGTCACGGTGTCTTTCTATCCTCCGTTCAAATTCTCTCTGACTTGGACACTTCGGAAATACCGATTTCCACACGAATCACCGCTTTCTGTTAACGATCCACTGTTAAATGCATTTGTAAAAGTAGAAAGCTCAAGGGAATGAAGAAACAGCTACGAAATGTCACTAGTTATTACTAGATATTCGCCAGGCATTGGAATAGGAGTTCTGAAAGATTACTCACCGAGACAGATCAGCAGACACAACACCTCCGTCTTCATCCTGACGGAGGACGTGAATATTTGGGGAAAAAGGTACGGTCTGCTCGTTATCTCAGAATCAAGTCACGGTTCTTCGAACGTGAAGGAATTGATGACTAGAGACTACTGGGTCGCATCGAGAGGGTCCCAGGGTCTTATATGCATCCCCCACTTTTCCATTCACGAGGTTACAACACTCGATGACCGCGTAGAACTAAAGGAGAACCATTGCTCTTCTGCATACTCGCGCCGATCGAGCACTCGGTTAAAGATACGCCATGGATACAGAGTTAACTGTACATCAAACAGGATAACCAACGTTTCGAGCATTTCTTTTTTTACGTATAAATCACTCGGCGTAATCGAGACTTCAATGGACTTTTCATATATCCTCTTTCGCCTAATGTTTTATTTATATCGTCCAGTACCAGGTGCCCCATCTAAATGCATTCCTGAATTTCTCTGTTGTACAGTTGCAGGTCCCAGTGCACAGAAGTATGTCCATTTCGTGAGTCTAATAGCAAGTTTCGCGATCCCACCATCCTCCAGGATTCCTTCTGATCCAGAGCTTCCTAAGTTCGTCGTAGGTTAGGATGATCACGGCGTATGGGACACCTGGCAGCCACCACTCTAGGATCAATGGATAGGTTCTGAGGATTTCGTCCATGTAAGGAGCATAACAAACGACGCAGGCTACTATTATCTCGAAGACTATCCCAAAATTCAGTACCCAGTTGTTCATGCCTTGGTGGAAGAGAGAATTGCGACGAGTTTTGCAGATCATAACGTCGGCTACCTGAACGATCACTATGCTGACAAAGAAAGCGGTGTGGCAGGTATATTCGAGGATCTTGCGTTGCTCATACGTCCATTCCTGGCCGAAACTGTCTTGCAAGTCGTTCACGACTATGCTGTCCCACGCGGGACGCAGGTCTAGCAGTCTGCTTGGCAGGAATCCGTGCTCTGCCATCACCACGAAGTACGTGAAGAAACCAGCGCAGGCCTCGATTATGCCGATCTGTCCGTAGGCCATGAAAATTAATCGGTGGCTGACAAGGTGATCTTTGAGCGGTATCCTCGGTTTCCTATAATTCGAGATTGCGATAAAAATGAAACCGACACGGAACATAATAGCTGATATTCCCGGCAGGTTTTCGAGTATTATAATTGATACCTGAGCATGATGTCTGACTCAGATTTCTCGTAAGCCAGCGAAACAGCTGGCCACATGTCCGTACCAAGATCTATGCACAGAATGCAAATGACGCCTACGGGCAGAGGGATCCCGAGCACTATAAATGCCAGGAAAGGTGTAATTTCTGGGACATTGCTGGCTAGAGTGTACGCTATACTCGATTTCAAGTTGTCAAACACTCTTCGGCCTTCCTCGATCCCCGTCACGATCGACGAAAAGTCGTCGTTCAGTAGAATCATGTCTGCCACTTCTTTGCTCACGTCTGACCCTAGTGTCAACGAAACGCTCGAGTAAGATTAATTATTGGACATGTTCGAGAAAGGCTCGATACTGTACTCGATGGTGGATTTAGCCTTGAAGAAACCGAAGCATTACAAATTTCTGGAGTCCTATCGAAATAAATCAATTATACAAAAATATATATACACCCAATGAGAGACAGAAGAGAGTTTAAATGTTAGACTATACAAAGGAACACCATAATTTTACGAGAAGGAATTATATTTTATAACGACAATGAATTTTCCATTAATATAATTACTTTTATTATAAATTGTATTTACTATATTTACTATATTTATACTATATTTATACTATATTTATACTATATTTATACTATATTTATACTATATTTATATTATATTTATACTGTATTTACTGTATTTCCTGTATTTACTGCATTTACTGCATTTACTGCATTTACTGTCTTTGCCCTATTTACTATATTTACTATATTTACTGCATTTACTGTATTTGCTGTATTTACCGTCTTTTCTTTATTTACTATATCTATTATATTTACTGTATTTGTTGTATTTACTGTATTTACTGTCCTTGCTGTATTTACTATATTTACTATATTTACTACATTTACTGTATTTACTGTCTTTGCCCTATTTACTATATTTACTGTATTTGCTGTATTTACTGTATTTATTGCATTTACCGTCTTTTCTCTATTTACTATATTTAATACATTTACTGTATTTACTGTATTTGCTGTATTTACTATATTAACTATACTTACTATATATACTATATTTATTAAGTTATAATCAGTATGAAAATTACAGGTACTTATGTTCATAAATTTTAACTATAAACTTTCTTTCGCCCATCATTGTATATATACTTCTCTATTTCTATAGAAAATTAAATCCATATGTCCTATTAGAATTTAAGAATTATATTCTTATTGTCACACAAGGAACCTCTATCTTAGGGGTTCTACCATTTATATGTAAATTCACCGTTGACTGCATTATAATATCTGAATTATTAATTCGTCTTTGGGTATAAAAATATTACAATATTCGCAATCTGTTAATTATAAAAGTATCGTAATATCTGTGATCAAATAAAGAAGATAATTAAGATATTATAATATACATCAGAATCTTTATAATTCGCGTGAAATTTAATGGTCATGAAAAATTACCAGCAATCCCCATAGCGATACCAATATCGGCCTTCTTCAATGCCGGCGAGTCATTGACACCATCGCCAGTGACCGCGGTGATCAGATGAAGTCGTTGACAACTCTCCACGATCCGAAGCTTCTGCACAGGTGATGTTCTAGCGAAAACAATCTCTGGATACTGCCTAATGATACGGTCCAGCTGCTCCGGTTCTAACTCCTTAAGCTCCATCCCCGTCACCACGATGGAACGTTTCTTCCCATTGTTGTTCTCATTGTGTGTTCTCAAGTCGTCGGTGATGATGCCCACGTACTTCGCGATTGCTCTTGCTGTGTCAGGGTGATCACCAGTCACCATGATCACCTTGATTCCGGCGCAACGGCATTTGTACACCGCGTCTGGCACCGTTGGCCTCGGCGGATCCATCATCGACATCAACCCGATCTAATAATACGGAATATCGATTTACTTTCTCGAATTTGTCACATAGCTAAGTGCTGATCCGATGTCCATATTGCGGAATGCCAATCGCCATTGTATTTATTGTCTTTCCATGACAGGTTGGACATAGCCAGAGCCATCTGGCTACAAGATGAAAAATGTCCTCTCAGAGAAGTCAGCAAGCTTCCTTCAAAGATCAAAGGACACGATGAGTCCACTCTCAAAAGGTATGCAAATAACAGTTTGTTTAGACTCTTGTTGGGGATAAATATATTTAAGAATTTTAGAAAGTTAGGTACTGTGCACAGCTAGCAGGATGATGAGCGGAAGGAATGCACTGCGTTCTCTAACACAATCATAAAGGTCAGGATCGAGTGGGATGGAGCGATAAGCAGTGATACGACACGTTTTAATTACTATCACAAGATAAACACGCAATGACGTTATCCCATTGACATGTCATCCGAGGCTACCGGGAAGCTAAAATTGTAGGGAGCCAAGATTTTGAAGGTATAATTTGGGAATTACGTATTCTCGATTCGCATGAAGAAAAATTCGTGGAACTTGTTAGGTGAGAATGTCAGAGATTTATATCTGTGACCCCTGTGGTGCTCCTTATGCCAAACTGTCAATTCTGTGAGGTACTAATCTGTTGAACCATCTTACACGTTTTCCAGTTATCTTGCTCTGACACGGTCAATCCCAAAGTCGCAACACTAGGACATAGTATCTATTTAGCTCTGTAGAGTAACTGTATTACAATTGAAGAACACGTATCAGAAATAAACTTTGCCAATTTTGTCAATTCTTTCAGATAGTTCTAATAGAACCCACGAAGCTTGAGATTTCTTCGTAAGGCGAGTCTAACTTTTAATTATTAGAAAGCGTTGTTAACGTTTACAAATTGGTAAAGCAAGTTTCTGACACGTTGTTATTTCGAATGAACGATATTACCAGTCTCAGGTTACGAAGAGGAAAGTTTGGAGGATCTTCCTTGAAGGCGTAACCAGGCGGGAAGGAAGAGATAGGGAGAGTGAGGTCAGCAAAGCCAAGAACACGTTCGCCATTATTTGCAAGAACATAACAAGATTCCGTATAAGCATTTTTGGTTTCGTCATCCAGTTTCCTTGTCTCGTTATCAAACGCCACGCTGGTACACCGTTCCAAAACTCTTTCTGGTGCACCCTTCATGAAGAGAACGTGCTTCCTACCACACATATAGATGTTGGCCTGGAACTTGTCCGTCGAATTGAATGGTATTTCGAACACCTAATGTGAAAAGAGAAGGAATAAATTATTTACATGTTGCACCGATGAAAGGAAGGAATTATCATAATTGAACACCTTTGTGCAGCTTTTTCTGTATGCATCTGCACCGCCTTTCACGAGGACTTCCATACATTTTAATAAAGCAGCGTCAGAAGCGTCGCCTAAAATTTTCCTTTTGCTCAAAGGTGGCACGGGCATATTTTTAGCCAAAGGCTCCCATTCGGCCCGATTACAAAGGCTAGCCACCCTGGCCAAGTTATGAAATCCGGTATTCTTAATGTATTTTCTCCACGTGTCAGAAATCATTATCTCTCGCAATTCACCGTCGTACCACATGTGTTTGACCTGAGCAGCAAATAGTGAAACTGATTTTGCAACCGTCGGTTTAATGCCGCTGCGATGTGAAAACACTGCAGAACAGAGAGAGAGAAGAAGTTTTCCTAATGTTTAATTAAGAACGGTACTCATCGGACTTCTTTTAAGCCGTATTTAGCAGCTTTTACACGCTTTGGTTCGTTCTCAATCCATTTACGGATGATCATGTCGTGATTCAAGCTAGGGTTATTATATTCGAGAGGAAAATGATTAACTCTTTGGGGCACAGTGGGATTAAAAGTGTCCCACCTTTTTGATGCACCGTAATGCATGGTGGCACATTTTCAGTCCCACCTCGAAATATTGCAATAGCTGCATGCACGTAGGTTTATATTTCATCTTATTTACGTAAAGCAGTTGGTAATACCTTCAACAAATGTTATAAATGCATTCGCTCGCTTTGGCAACATTCAACATGCCAGTACAGGTTCATCAATTGTTGCAAACGGAAGGTTTATTGCGACAATCTTTTTTCCTGGTTTTATGTTTTCACATTATGCGATTCTTTTATTAGTAAAAATATACCAATTTTGTTTCATTTAAAACGCAATAAAATTTCTGTGCAACATGGGTCTATTTTATTATCTGAAATCCTGTGCCACAAAGAGTTAAGAGAACCTATTTTTGATAGGCACCTGTGAATACAGATATGATATATTAGGTACATTTTTGATGAATTCCAATTTGGAAGCCACATAGGATGTGCAATAAAGCTATACAGGTATAACATATTGCATCTATTCTTAATTTAATTCGAAAGTAAAATATAGTGTACGATAATGTATATAATGTATATAGTAAATGAAAAATATATAGATACAATATATTACACCTATTTTTAATAAATTTTAATTTGAGAATGAATGAAATGTACATATATAATGCATAAAGTATATGATTTTTATAAACTTGAATGGTGTAGAAATAAAATAGAGTGTATAAAATAAAAATGGCGGCTGTACTCTTAGGTAACTATCTATATATGAAGAAGAAATATAATTTTCTCATTGTTGTATTAATTGTTTTTGCTTATTGTATAGTGATATACACTAGAATTTTCTTTTTTAATCATCATGTATTGCAATATATAAACTTTATTACCCTCTTCGTTATATTTCACACTTCGGAAGATATGGTGCAAGTCTTTGGAGGAAGAGTCTGTCAACTGAAATCAATTTCAAAATATCAAAAATATCTTTTTAACAGAAATAAATACCACAAAGTATCGGTAAAAGTTTATAAAATATATATTACACGAACTCCATCTGTGATGTGACACGAGACTGCAAAAATTCGACGAAGAACCTATGTATTTCGACAAAGTACTTCCAAAGAGAAGAACTTATCTTAGAAACATCTTCTTCCAAAGAGCCTGGCAATTAAATAAAGGATATAATTCTGTCCAAGGACTGTATATGCTTACAGTCATCTTATTCTGAGTGAGCGTTCCAGTTTTGTCGCTGCAAATGACAGCAGTGCACCCTAGAGTCTCGATAGCCTCCAGATGCTTCACCAGGCAATTTTTGCTCGCCATCTTGTTGGCTGTGAGAGTGAGGCTGACAGTCATGGTGGCCACCAGTCCCTCCGGAACATTGGCGACTATTATGCCGATCAGGAACCCTATCGAATTGATCCAGCTGTAGCCCATAGCCTTTGACAGCGCGAAGAACAGCACTCCTAGGAAAATGGCCCAGCACGATATCAGTTTCATAAATCGATGAATCTCCCGTGAAAGCGGCGTTGGTCTTGGTGCCAGTTTAGCAGTCAGTTTGGCAACTCTGCCCATCACGGTTTGGTCACCGCGAGCAACCACGACTCCTTTTCCGCTGCCTGTTGCACGTTAACGAAACTTTGAGAAACGACAGAGGGAGGATTGCGAAACTCGTAGGAAATGCTTGAGAAACGGACAAGCAGCTGCTCGTTTTATGCGCTGTCTTACCTTCGACTATGTCGGTCGAGAAGAATACCATGTTCTTGGCTTCCATCACGCTGCTCTCAGGATGAACGTTGGCCGTTCTTAAGAGCGGAATCGATTCTCCGGTGATCGAAGCATTGTCGACCTTGAGACCTTAATGCCAACGTATAGAGTTCTCAACGATGCTCAGGAAAGTAACGAGAAGAGAAGTTAACAGGGATAACTAAGCATATACTACAGTTTAAATAACCGTTTGCAAATCTTTCACTCAAAATTCTCAGAGTTATCGACCTGATTATGTGATAAGTTTAGTAAACAGCTTAATTTTTGACACAACTTTTGACTTTTAACTTTTAAGTTTTGAGCAACAACTTTGCCTTTGACACAATTTTGTCACTAATTTTTCGATAGTTTCTCTTATTCCATTTTTTCTTTTTTTTTTTATTTCTTTTTTTAGGTTCTTCTCCCTTTGTTTTGTCATATATAGGTCATTTGATCAATAATGATAGATTATAGTGATAGAGATGTACGAGTTACTTATTTGTCGGATTAATTGATTCCAGGAGACAACAAGTAGAGTTTTATATTGTATAAATGAAATTGTGGAAGATGTTAGACATAATTTGGGTATTTAGGAACTGAAGTTTTGAGAGATTAGAAAAGTGGAGTTAATCACTATGGACGATAAGTATGAACGACTGAAATGCTAATTGGATATGATAATTCTAAAAATTTAGAAATTTATAGTGAATAATATTAAAAGTAAAATTCTGAAAGTACTGTGCTATGTAATATTTTACTTGATGCTGGAATGATATGGAGTTATGGAGAATATAGATTTAGAAATTAATAATGGAAATTTAAAATAATAATTAGATATTGTCTGAAATATATTGTTAGGTTTTGTTATATATTTTATAATATATATTATGTATTTTATAAAATATATTATAGATATATTTTATAATATATATTATATATATCATAAATTATATGCATATTATATATTTATTGTATATGCTTCATTAATTATTGTGGAATATATTGTTAAGGTTTCATTGATGTTACAAATTCTGGGTATATTCGTTATACGTTTTCTAAAATACTCAGATGATAATATAATGGAAAATATAGATAATTTTATAATAGCTTTTTTTCATCTGATATTATTACATATCAGTAATAGATCTAGAGTCTTTATATCTATACTTAAGTATTTTCTATAAAATATTTATCATAATATAATATATTACTAATAACATGTAATGAATGTGGTAAGTGATAAAATTAAATACACTGTGTTGTAGTTTAGCTACATATTAAACAGAAAGGGTTATAAATTATGACTTATTAATAGTAAGTATTACTAGTCAATCTTCTAATTATCATATATTAATTGTCATATTATTTTTATCAAAAATATATTTATTTTTGTGTAAATATTAATTACTAATCATATTAATAATAAATAGTAGATATTAAAATTAAGTCCATTACGTTTTTAGTTATTTGTATACTATCCAAAGAAGATTATAAACTACTATCTATTATTAGTAGCAAAAATATTTTACTTTTCTTTGTCACAAACATTCTTTTAATTTTTGCATTACTTCTATGAAGAATAAACAAGACTTTGAAACTATTAAAAGCTATAAATTATCATTTACCATTAATACCAAAAATATATGGAACCTTTGTGTCACAATTAATCTTTCAATTATCATATTGCTTCCATCAGAGATAAATATAAAGACTAGAGCTATACCTATTTCTCTGCAAATATTCACTATACCATTAGCATCCAATGAATATAGTACATGTAAAACTAAATCCATTATTTTACTATATACTATTCAAAAGGAATTGTAAATTACCATTGGTACCAAAAATATATGACACCTTTTTGTCACAATTAATCTTTCAATTACCATATTGCTTCTATCAGAGATAAATATAAAGACTAAAGCTATACCTATTTCTCCACAAATATTCATTATACCAATATCATCCAATGAACATAGTACATGTGAAACTAAATCCACCATTTTACTATATACTATCCAAAGGAATTATAAATTACCATTAGTACCAAAACCATATGGCACTTCTTTATCACAATCTTTTGAAAACCACACTACTTCCAAATACACCAGAAATTATCAAATTCTTCAATATCTCCACCTAAATTCAACAAAACAAATTATAAACAAATAATACAACAACCTACTGTATAAACTATGCTCACCTGGGAATTGTTTGAATATCTGAATGTTAACAGTGTGAACACAATATCCAGATTCTTTCACGTATTCCATCGAATTTAAATAACCTACTACACGAACATTTTACGGTTTCGTGAATCGTATTTACAACAAAATCGACACGGTATCTCGAGCGTCGACGAAGAGAAAGGCGAGGACTTTTTTGTTGAGAAATAAGAAAGTTACGGTTGCAACTGCAGCGATACGAATTTACCTTGACATTCCAGGATCCTAATGTCAGCGGGTACTCGGTCACCGGTTTCCAAAAGGACAATGTCCCCAACGACTAATTCGGCCACGCACAGTTCCTTCTTTTCGCCGTTCCTCAGCACCTTCGTCTTTTGAGGCAACATTTGCTGAAACGATTCCATGATCCGCGAGCTTTTCGACTCCTGATAGTGGCTGAACATCGCTGTGACCAGGATCAGCACCACAAGGACAATACCGAGTCCAAGGTGCTCGTTAGAGGCATCGCCGTAGGTGCTGTACTCCAGGAAGTAGTTGCAGAAACATAATAGGGCGCCTGTCTGAAAAATTGAATTATTAGACTAATTCCTGAAGATTATTACTCGAAGAGCTAGAAAATAAATGGATGACAAGCTCGTAAAAGTGTAAAGAGATTATAAAGAATATTAATCTTGTAATCTGGCCAATAAAAATCGACTTCTTTGGTATTTTTTCTAAGGAAACCATGATACCTTTTGATATGCAGTATTCACACACAGATTTATTTATACTTAGAGAATATTTCCAATTTTTTTTAATGAAATTATTGAAAATTATGGAAATTGTATAGCCTTAGGTAAATCGTGTTTTTAAAAACGGGCTCAAATAACTGACCCGATTCCGGACCATCTGGTTATCTGAAACGAAAAAACTAGAAAGCATCTTAATTAGTATAAGTACGGCTATAGCATGAACCATCAAAACTGCGAAATTTCGAAAATTAAAAGAATGACAGCATTTTGAAGTTCAAATATCGATTTCCCTTGTGCTTTTCCTCCTTTGGGTGGGAAATAAAAATAGAAAAAAATCTCAGATTTTGAAATCCGTGTTCATGTGATGAAGGTACATCTGGTGAAGATCTCCTCCAAATTTTGAGTTGATCGGTCAATTAAAACGCGAGATATCCCATCAGCCAGTTGAAGAAATATGGTTTCGAGAAAGACGCGTTTGAAGTTTTTGTTACCCATTGTACAATGGCTGTACGCCGCACTTTAAACGTTTATAACTTCGCTAATTTTGCGAATTCGAACAAATCCTTTTATACAGATATTTTCGAAAGCATATATTTTGAGAAAATGTAAAAAAAAAATCGATTTTTTAAGGCGGATTTACAACAATACCTCCTTGAGTTTGGGAATTGTACAATCGTGGACATTAAAGATGTAGATTCCTCGGATGCAGGTACCAGTAGAAAAAGCTTAATTCAGAAACTATAAATGTAGACGAAATTGTATTTTAATGGCTTTGAATAATGAAAGAATAAAGAACAAAGAACAATTGCAAATTGTACTACAGATTCATTATTTAACGCAATTTCTATAAATCCATTTGTCATTTGTAATTGCACGATAGAAAATTAAAAAAGTATCGAAAAAATATTACAATAAATAACAACGATCGAGTTGAACTATTTATAAAACGAAATATAAATAAATAAGTCAAAAGTTTTCTTTAGTGACTTTACCTTAAATCGACTTAGTCTTTCCCGATTTTAAAAGAAAACGCTGTATTTTATTATCAATAAGAAATTCAGATTAAAGAGTTTGAAAGAATTGCAGAATGCGTGGAACGATCATGATGATTTTGAAGTATATTATGGAGAATAAAATTCTGAGCAACTTTTATTTCAACAATAATTGTCGCTCGGCTTTAGTTTCCGAGATATTTGCAAAAATCGTTGCTACTACTACATCGAACTCGGCCTGTACGTGTGTCGATGACACAGAGGTTGGAAGGGATGACCGCTCGTCTAGCATATATAACGGATGGGCGAAAATAACCGAACGTCAACGCGTGAGCGGTTGCCACGAGGCGGCTCGAATACTGCTGCATCCCAATATAAATTAAATTAGTATCATTTAATTAGATCAGGTTGGATTACATTGGTATTCTGATCGTCGTGATCTAGTCAGCTATGCCAGCTTTACGATGATTTCTTTTTCCTGCCACCCGTTATATATGCTCGCCACCGTTTATAGAAACACTACACGAGTGGCGATTTCTTACACACGTTCACGACACACGTACAGGCAGATTTTAATATGTAGTGCCAACGATTTTTGCAGATATTCTGGAAACTAAGGCCAAGCGACAATTCAGCGACAGTTCACATAGCAATTAAAAAATTTACACATAAATATTTCACATGGTAACTTGAAATTGCTGTATTTCTAATAAATTACTTCCGAAAAAACGTTTATCAAGCCAATTTGTCAATTACAATGAAATTTTGTCATATGTTATTACTGTTGTCGTCCATATAAATTATAACACTATATGAAAGAAAATACTTCATAATATTTTTTTCTAAATAGAATATCATTATACCCATATCAATAAAGAAAATCCTCCAAAACTTCGATGTAAAAACTTTAAGACGCTCGAAGTCTTTCTTGGTGGTGTCAACGCATTTAGACCGCTTTTGTTTAGTAGATCGCGTGCAATAGACGTGGACAGGCCATGGGCCGCGTTAGTTCCTAGGCTTTGCAATAAATCTTCCGTTGGTTGGAGGTGAACGTCTGTTTCGATATCGCGACGCAGTGACTCTAGATTAGTACCAGGACGTAACCGTCTTTGTCTCTCAAAGAATCTCCACATTCTCCACTTGTAAAGGCAGTTCATCGCGAATATCGTTGGACAGAGATTAAAAGAAAAGTATACTTCGTATAAAAATGTGAAATAAGCAAAATACGTGTTCGATAGCTGAACTATATCGAGATATCGTGATACGAATTTTTTAGCAGTAACGTATCGAGTTTCGATTTTACCCCTGAATAAATGCAATCGCGATAAAGGCAATTTATTTTTCAAAGCAATTCAATTAAAATGTTACTATATGTATGTACACATATATGATATAAAATACAGAATTATCAGAAAATATTTTGTTCGATGAAAAATTGTTTATATTTGATGTAAGTAATGTAAAAAATATTAGTAATATAAGATCACTTGTTTGCTATTTAGTTCTATTTATTTTAATAATTGTATACATTATAAAAAAAATGTTATGAATGAATTATATATAATTTATGATTTTTAAATAACCTTATGAAAAATATAAAAAAAAAAAGAAAATTTTGTTTGAAATTATGTATATGAACGGGTGTATGAGATATAAACCGTTTTTAATTTTATAGAATTTAACGTATAGGAGATATGTAATTTATTTTTTCATATAACAGAAATAATATTTTACATGAGTAAATTGAAATACCGACTGTGTAACGTGTGAGTTGGAAGGAATGTTCTACTTTACCTACAAAGTATTTCGTGTCGATGAGAGAAAAGAAGAGACGGTGGCGCTGATGTGCAAAGGCCGAAGCTGTACGAGTCTGAAAACTCGAAAGACGCCACGCAGAGAAAGCGAGTTTTCGGACCGCCATAATAGCGCCATAGCGGTGTGTACCTCGTCCCGCTAGTTCGTCGTCTGTGACGCGACGCTTACCGACGCTCGGCGTCGTTTCTTGGAATTTTGATTAATGAGTGACATATTCCAATTAAATTAAGCATTTTTGTCGCGATTGTTCTCACGGTACGTTAGAATAGAAATATACAAGGTTCAAGAAGACTCGGTGGAAGAACGACGTTAGGGACGCGTGAGTGTGTGCTTTGTGGGTGTCTGAACGGACGGTAGTCAGGAAAACATGGAGAACAGGCCGGCGCCACTCCGGTCCAGGCGGGTCTGTCGATTTTGCCTGACGGAATCCGAACCACTTAGCTTCATTTATGAAAGGGATCATAGCAAACCGTTTCAAGTGCCACTTACCCTGCAGATCATGTCGTGCGTCGCCATCGAGGTAATTATTTTCCTTGAAAACGGCATCGACTGCCACTGATTCATTCTTTATCTACCTTTTGTACCATATTCTTAGAAAAGTTATATATTTTCAAGATTAGTCTTACTTGCTACATTTTATTCATTTTTTTCGTGAAAGATGTTAGTTTTATGTAATTATGTTCTTACTATCAATATCTTTCATCGAACAAAATGTATGGTATGCCAATGGACAGTGAATGGTTTGGGTAACGCAGATATCATATTTGCCGGTAGAGCAAAATACATTCAATAACTTTTCGTTGCTATTAAGACGCAATAGATTTTTATTCACTGATGATACAGTAAATGTGTACAGTCAGTAATAAATGTTATAAGATATAAAAGTTGAAAATTTGAAATTGTTATATAAATACGATGGACAGAATAAAGCCACGTGTTACCGATAACTTTGTTTAAATGCTGTGATGGTAAAATGTAAATCTATTGCATTTTGAGATTATTTTGATATTTTCTATTATCGATGTTTATATATTAGTGCAAATATTTGATAAGAATAATATTTGTTATAATATTTATTATTATATTGAAAATGTTTCTTTTTTTTCGTATTAAATATGTAGAATAATAAATTTTGGCGGGAAAGTAATCATGTTCACCGTAATTTGTTTGCATATCATATTTTAATGTTTTTAATTGTGTAACATGCAATATAAATTTCAATTACTTTCTGATTAATGACCATAATTTATGTTATATAATAAATTTAGATGTACTTTTGTATAAGATCTTTATGCATAATTTTTTATCTGTTATTGATTAATTTTATCTGTGAATTACTTCTTTTCACAAAGTATTTTATTAATATACATTACATTCTTTATAATAATTTATAACATCATATGTTTAAGGTATATGCAGCAGATGGAATGCCACAAATGATATGTAACATGTGCCGTTGGAACTTGGATAGATCTTACAAATTTAAACTTCAATGTAAAAAAGCAGATGAGGCATTAAGAGCTTATCCATTATCAGGTGTCTTACCAAGACCATTTCCACCAATTCCAAATGATCCACCTGATATGAATAATAAACGGCCTTCGGAGCAAAGACCTCAAAATGAAGGAAGCAAAAAACCTCGAGTTGATAATGGTGATAGAGAGAGAAGAGAAACACAAGAAAGAGATAGAGATAGAGAAAGGGAAAGGGATAGACAAGTAGAAAAACAAAGGGACAAAGAAGATCAACATGACTTTTATGAGGAGGAACAAGATGCAGGTAGCGAGGGAGATCAAGATACAAACAGTACTAAAGAAGAGCGAAAATTTGAGCCAGGTGAAATAAGGGTACATGCATGTGATCAGTGTGATCGTACTTTCCCTTTGCGACAAGCTCTTGCTTTACACATTCAAAGAGCTCATCGTGATCGTAATTATAAATGTACAGAATGTGACCGCATGTTCTTTTCTAAATATGATCTTGGGAAACATATGACTACACATTCAGAAGAGAAACCATTCTCTTGTCCAATTTGTAACAAACAATTTTCAAGAGCAAATTTGTTACAACGTCATGAAAAAGTTCATAGAGATGAACTACGTTATGGTTGTCAACATTGTGATCGTGAATTCTTTACAACAGAAGAATTAGAAAAACATGAAGATTCTGTACACAAAAAGGAGAAACCTTTCCAATGCAACATTTGCAACAAACGTTTTACATACAAACAAGGTTTAGAACGCCATGAGGTGCTACATAATGAAGATAAGACTTTCGTTTGCGAATATTGTAAAGAAGCGTTTCGTACAAGTACAAAATTAGCTCGTCATTTAACAACTCATGCTGGACATCGGCCATATTTATGTAAATTATGCCCCCGTTCATTCCTTCTATCTCATCATTTGACGAGGCATATGCGAACACATTCTGTAGAGAAACGTCATGTTTGTGAGGATTGCGGTAAGGCTTTCAAACGTAAAGAGAGTTTAGAAGTACATCAATTAACGCACACAAAACGCACAGGTATGGGATTGACATGCGCTGTTTGTCAAGAATCGTGTCGAAATAGAGCAGATTATGTCACACATATAAAGCAACATATTGAAGCAGGTGAGAAAATGGGACCAGATGGATTACAACCAGACAATAAAACAAAACTTGATTTAGATTCTGATGAAGATGAAGAAGAAGAACAATATTCAGATGGAGATGATGACTATGAACCACCAGCATATATCGTGAAAAAGCTTCCAAAACCAAGTAAGCCATCAGAGAGTGAAGAAGAACCAGAACGATCAGAAAAAGAAGATAATCAAAAAGAACAAGTTGTATATGTGAGACATAAAGATGGAAATATGATTAAAAAGACAATTAAAACTTTGATGCCTATACAGCGTAGGGAAGTACAAGATACTAAAATAAAACAAAATCCATCTAATAATCAACCTCAATCAAATACGAAACCTTTGCAGTCTAAACAAAATGAAGAATCTTCAAAGTCTTCCCGTGTAGATGAAACAGAAGCACAAGTCCAAAAAATTGTTGCATCAGTATTTAAAGAACATAAAATACCATTGAAACATCAAGCTGTTCAAGAACAGACTAAAGAATCATCTACACCTGCAAGTCAATCAAGGCCGCAACAAGGACAAAGTAGTTCACAAAATCAAGTTTCTATGAAAGATGATAAAACTGAATCCCCTGTAGTAGTCAGTAGCACACCAAAAGCTGTAAACACTGTTAAAGTGATAAAGAGAATTGTTGTGAGAAAACCTAGTGGTAGTACTGAAACATCAACTAGTACACCCACGTTAAAAGATGATGATGCAGCAGGTACCACTTCTCAAACACTTAGTACAGGACATAAAGTAACAAAAAGAGTAATTGTTCGTAGAATTATTCGTCAAGGAGATACTACCAGAGAGGTCATTATGAATCCCGATGGTACAATAATTGATCCAGCAGAATTAGCAAAGCTACCAACTGGTAATGTTGTAAAAAGAGTTGTTGTAAAGAAACCACTTGATAAGCATCAAAGTTTGGTTCAAGCTGTGTTGCAATCATCCTCAGATTTACGGCAACCAACTACAACAATAAAAAGTAATGATAGCATATTAAGTGAATCTCCGAAATTTGAATTAAAAACCTCTCAATCAACAAATATACCGTCTTCGGTAACGAAAACAACTGTATCTACTACACAGAAACCATCATTAATAGTAGGAGATCAAGAAACTAAAGAAAAATTAGAACAATTAGAAAAGAGAGTAGAGCAACAGCGATTGAAAATAGAAGAATTAGAGGCTCGAAAGCAGCAGGAATATGAACCTATCGAGGAAATGTCACCAGAACGTCATGATGAATCTGATGATGAACAACAATTACCACTGAAACGAGTATTTGTAAAGAAAAAGCAAAGTATGTATGATGAAGAACAAGAATATAATGACAATGATGTGACAGTGACTTCAATAATACCTGTAATAAGTACTGTAACAACCCCAAGAATGGTAAGTATTGAATTAGAATCAGAAAAAGAAAAAGAAAGAGAAAAGGAAAGAGAAAGAGAAAGGGAAAGGGAAAAGGAAAGGGAAAGGGAAAAGGAAAGGGAAAGGGAAAGGGAGAGGGAAAGGGAAAGGGAAAAGGAGAGAGAGAAGGAAAGGGAAAAAGAAAGGGAAAAGGAAAAGGAAAGAGAAAAGGAAAAGGAAAAAGAAAAAGAAAAGGAAAAAGAAAAGGAAAAAGAGAAGGAGAAGGAAAAAGAAAAAGAGAAGGAAAACGAAAAAGAAAAGACTGAAACTAAAATTCCAGTGGAAAATGTACCAAAGGATGTTCTCATAACGCCAAAATCAGTCACTGTAGCAACGGCAGTAACCACATCGACGACAACAATAGCAACGACGACGACAACACCCATTAATATTAGAAGGGAAGGTAAACCTTTAATAACGAGTTCAAAAGTTTATGGAAATAAAAAAATAATTGTTTTGAAAGCGGACGATTCATCAGAAGTTGAAGATATGAGCAGAGAATTGTGTAGTATATTAGATTCAGCTGATTCTGTAGTTAAGATGCAAGAAACAGTTCTAAGTAATTTAACTCAAATATCTTCTCTTGGAGAGCCTTCTCAAAAGAACTATAATGATAAACCAAAAGCTGGGCCTTCTAATTCTGACAATTATTCAGTAAAAGAGGATGCTATTGTTGAAACTGATCCCCAAGATCAAGAAATGGATATTAAATTAGACAGTTCTGTCTCTATGAATATATCAGATTCTCAAGAGTCTGATATTAAAATGGATAGTGTATCTGAAGAAATACAAGCTATTGAACAACCTGAACAAAATTCAAATTTGACTTTAGATGAACAAGATCTTTCAGAATCAACAGATATTTTTGAGCCATCAGATAACGTATTGGAGGTACAAAAGAGTCAGTTAGGAGAATCTGTAATAGAACTCGATCACGATAATCATACAATCAATTTAAATGATACTAATGATAGTCAAGATAGTCTTGAGGACAAACTTCAACAAATGGAAGGTTAAACTTTCTACTAGGAGAAAGTAATAAAACAGGCTTTGGTTTAAAACCTATAAGCCTTAATTTGATATATATTACATTTTAAATCATAATTTTATAAATTGAAAACTCAATTTCTATACACTTTGGACAGATATAGGTAAACACTTTAATCATTTCATCATTAGATTTATCAATTACTAGATTATAAATTTAAAATAGGCTACATTTTATTGTTACATTACATTTAAACTTTCTTATTTCAATTTGATTTTTCCTCTGTGACACTTGTAGAATTATGTCTATGATGTTAATTATTAATGATGGTAGTAAAATATGAAAATATGTTAGTGCCTAGTAACTATACTTTTCATATAAAAAAGAAAATTCAGTTTATCGGGTGATAAAGAATTTAATTATGTTTTGCATGTGACAAAAAAATCTTTTTATTGGTGTGAAAATATGTCATAGGTATATTAAAAATGAAATATAAATAAACAATTTAAGTGATGGACATTGTAAATTTTAGCACTCATTTTGGGTATTTGACTTGTCTAATATTTGTGCATACAAATACCGAAACGTAAATTTGTATATATGTCAGCTGTTATACTTTATTTCGAATTTTCTTTTTTGTTTCTATCAATTAATAACAAAATTTTGTTGTTTAATGCTATGTTACATTTTCTTACCATTGTTATATACAATTGATTCCACTATTGGAAACACACAAGGTACTTTAAAAAATTAAACTTACTGTAATATTTAATCATTATGCTAATTTTGCCAGACTAGAATGGAAATGGTACATAGATTATCCAATATCCTATAAACATTTGAAGCTATGTATCAAATACAAAGTATGGTGTGTACATGTAAAATTGAAAGTGTTGCTTATTTTCGGGAATACCTTCACCGCACACATAGTACAAATAACTACATCATTGTACTTTCATACAAAACATTTACATTTTATTTCGTACAATTGATTATAGCACATACTTAGGTATACACTTTATTATCAATATATAAACACGATTACATGTGTGATATATTATTTCAAATATACTTTAATATACAATCTATAAAAAATGACATGTTATGAGTTTATAAAATATAGTAAATATAAAATATAACAGTGAATGACATTGAATGATTATTGGTAATTTACCAATAAAAATGTATAAATATCGATTAAATACTGAAAACACATTGTCGCCAGAATTTATAAATTAAATATTGCATGTTATATTCTGATCACCTACTATATGATAGTAATTGTATAATTGTAACCTAAAGTATAATACGTTAATGTCGATAAATAAAACATCACAAATTAATATAGATTAACTTATATTGGCATTCATTAAATACGATTTTCTATATCAAATGTTGATCCATATTTTACCGTGTTATGGAAATTTCCATCTAATTATATCTATTAAAAACATGAGTAGCTTTTGATAATTTATCGACAGTATGCGATCTTTTTGTAAGCGGTGCCCAATAAATAAGTTCCATCTAAGTGGCAGAAGATGTCGACACTATAAGAATTCAGTTCGGCAAAATCGATCTTTGGTTTGCAATAGTTTCCGTTCAGTACATAGTAAGTCCGATATAAAGCAGCGATTTGAAATTACAGGTAAAATAGATGCATTTAAATATAGGCGAGTAAATGCATATCCGTGTATTTAATAAATTAAAATCGACGGATATGTGATTATTATGCATATGTCTGAAATATTTTTGATCAATATGTTGATTAAACAATTCTAATAACATAAAGTTCACGTATTTTACGTATTTAAACCATTAAGTAAATAATGATTTAACACTTGGAAATGCGATGGTTAGCAGCGTGTTAGAACATCAAGCAGGGTTGTCTTTCTTCTTACTGGTAAGACTCTGTAGCTGTAAAAATAACACTTGGAATATTTTCGATTTCACTGTTTATCATAACGTACGATATAAAAAAAAAAAATTATATTCCCGTCTTCGAATCTTTCTTTGTGTTGGTGTTTTTTAAAGTCCACCGCGTCCGCTGTCTATGTACTCGAACTTCTGTGGAGCAGAGACGATATTGAAAATTTAAAAAAAAGAGCGATTATCTACCTTATTTTCAAATGATCTATAACAATACAAAACATAGAAAGATTCTACAACGAGAATTCTGAATTTCTTTTTAAGTAAATTAGTATATCTATCAAACTGCAAACTATTAAAAACAATTGAAAAATATTTATTAACATAAAGCTAATTGCAGTATTCGTGACATTCTTATGAAACAATAATCTTTGCAACAATTGTTTCACTAAATGTCAGTGAAAAATAATTTAAAAAAGAAAAAGAACCATTTCCATGAATAACAGTACTGTATATAATGAATTCCGCGGAATTGTTTTTTGCGTCTACTGTACCTCCTTCTCGTCTGTCGCGGCAGCGGTGTATGGTCTGTTGGAACTTTCTGATTCTTTCGCAGGGCCGATTACGAACGCGTAGATTAATCCAGCCGCCATACCACCAAGGATTGGACCAACCCAATATAACCAGTGATTGTCGAATAAACCCATCACAACGGCGCTACCGAATGATCGTGCTGGATTCATACCTGCGCCAGTTCTTGGTACCTATTAAAACGGTACAATTAGAGATAAATGTTCTATATGTATATTAAATAATTACTTTTAGTGGGAATTCAAAATTCTAAAAAGTATCTACAATATCTAAGAATATATTTACATATTATATCCTTTGCGATTTTTATTTTTTCTCATAAATAATGATATCTTAATTTTGATTAGAATAATATCGTTAATATAATTTATGCTAGTCAATGTAAAAATAAAACAAATTAATGTAAATATATTATAAATAGTTTGAATATAGTTTCTGTTCATATTTTAATATTAATTTATGTAATAATGATGGTCATTGATATTGTAACCTGTTTAAATTATCACTTATAATAATTCTAGATAGAGATTCGTAATTGACTTGCAAATTTGTTGCTTTGTAACTATGAATGAATCAAAGGTTTTGAATATTTATCGTCGAATAGGTAATAATTTACATAATTTGTAATAATAACTATACAGTGCTTCCTATGGTACTAAAACACGCTATTATAAAAATTATGCAAAATACCATTTACATTTCAATAAGATTCTAAAATTTACATCAACAATCTGTTCAAATTTCTTTTTTATCAAAAATTTGGGATTAACATATACTCTAAACAAATTTACAGAAGAGATGAATAACTCTAAATATATTCATAAAATTCTTGAAGAATATATGTATATTTGAAATTAATATGTGATCTAAAAAGACTTACGAAAGAAATTAGTAATTCCAAGTACATTTACACAATTTGTCAATAATATAATATATACAACTATTGCATATATTAAAACATCGTCATTTATTTTATTAATTATTCTATCTCATAAATTTTTCTTTAAATATGTACGTATAAATAAATGTACATATAATAAACGTTGTAATTCATTTTTGCAAATATAGTTCTCGTGATTGTATAGTGAGACTCAAACACGTCATAGTATCATTACAATATTACAAAACCACAAAGATAATAGGATTTGAAAATTCATAAAAATATGCTGAACGTATATCTTACACCAACAATGTGGCCAACAGAAACAGAAAGTCCAATTATAAGAGGAGCTATTCCCTTGCTGTCTGGCTTTGCTGCGTCGCATGCACCACATACGACTAGAACCAATACGAAGGCAAGGAAGAACTCTATACCGAAACCTTGAACAGGAGTAACACCTGGTGAAAGAGATACCACCCCTAGTGCGTTTTCCATCCTTTCTGGAGATAATGCTCTTAGTATACCAGATCCTGCTATTGCTCCTATGCATTGAAGTATTACGTACAGTAAGCCTCTAATAATTGGCACCTGTAAAACAAGAACAAAATTTTAGTAAATTGTAAATGTAAGATGATAGATATAATTTATTTTATAAAAATTATTCTCTATATATATGGATATAGAGTGTGATGGTTCTATAAGCAGAAACGAATGGAAAAAAGAAGAATAAAATTTTTTTATTCGAAACTTCGTTTTCCAGACAATCGATTTTGAATATTCATCGAGTATGCTAACGTACTGATAGTCCACTCGCCTTAGCCAAAGTTAACATAAAGCTACCATAGTCAAATGGCTGGTAAATGGAAAAGAAATTTCAAAAGAATGAATAAATGAGAGACATTGAGAAAATGATTTTACATATATTGGAAGGAAAATCTCGAAGACAAGTGATTAAGATGTTAACGTTGAACGCGGAATTTTTAATGAAACTTTGAGAAACAGTGATTTAGGTTACGGTAGGTTTAGTGTTAAGTGCACGCGTACTCGGGGGATATTCAAAGTCGATTTTCTAGAAAACGAAGCTTCGAATGAAAAAATTTTATTCCTTATTTTCGACTTATTTTTTCATGTAAAATCACCCTCTCCTCGACCGTATCACCGATATTCATATATCGATTATCTATCCATATAAGCCATAGCTAAGTGCATGCATACTTGGTGAGTATTCAAATTCGATTTTCTCGAAAACAAAGCTTCAAATAAAAAAATTTTATTCTTTTTTTTTTCGATTCGTTTTTTCATGTAGAATTATAAGCAGCACAACCCTTCCGATTGTACTCCCGTTGTTGGGACACCCTGTACATAAATGCCCTTTTCTTATGATGCAGTTTTTTAACAAAAGTTACCGAGGATTTTTACAAGATTAAATAATTATATATCATTATTTAGTTATGTATGCATTATCACAGATGAATGGAATCTCTTGGAAGTAACTGTGACTAAGCCACAGGAGCTGAATAAATTATTGGTAAATCGTGAGTAACTATTTTAACATACATCCAAGGAACAATTACATGCTTGAGAGATTGTATAACAAGATACGAAGAATGAGTATAATTCCGTTGAGTCAATACTCGTTTCTATTAATCCGGTAGCTAAATAACATTTACGTTTCTCACTGCAAATATTCCATTTAGGAAGGAATCAGGATTATTTGCAGTTAGGTCTATAAAAACAGATTTGAAATAAACAAGACAGCTTTTCTAACACATGAAATAGTATGATTACTGGTTTTTCTATAATTAAGGAAAATGGCAGATTGTTTCAACAGTCAGTGCCAGCTAACGGTATGTACCATTACTTAGCGGATCAACTGCAATAAAAGTGAAGTAAAAACGGTGTCTATACATTTTAAGTTAAAAAAATATTTGCAAATACTTGAAACGTTGTCTGTAACTTTATTTATCTGCGAAATTATTTAATATACGAATAACGCTACTTTTACGAAACAGGGCAAGTACGTATTCTTCTTTTAGTATATATATGGTGTCCCAAAATTTAAGTAAGATTTGAATTTTGCGCCATTTGTGCGGTAAAGTGTTGTCAATGAGAAAAAAAGACAACGTGACAGCTGACAGTTTAGGATTGTTAAAAATGGAGCGCTACATGAAAGAACAATGTGACTTCATTGTTGAGTAATATTTACAATTTTTAATTAAAAATTTGTGCTTTCTATCAAAATTACTTCTTGCGTGAATTTTGAGACACCCAATATATATATTTTCTATAGGATATTTATATTATCCAACGGTCTTTTGTATGGAAAAAAGAAATCAAAAGGATCTCATTATTTTACTAAATAAAATAATGAGTTGTATTAGTGTTTTAAATTTACAACTTTCGAATAATGAATGTAACCTTCATACGATTGATAATGATTCACGAATTGATTGATAGAACAATAGTGCCCAATAAATTCACACGAGTAAACTCGCATAAACTAAATGTTCAAATTACGTATCTGAATTTGAACACTATACTCATACTGTAGTTTCAAACTATAAAAACATAATCAAATATCATAACACTATTGAACATCCCTTATTCATAGATAAAAATTGCTAACTAGACAAATAAATAATTGTATAAATATATGAACATCATTAAAAGATTACTTTTTAACCATTTTACATCACTAGATTCAAATATAATTTGACTAGATCATTATATAATTTTAATTATTCAATGATCAAATTTTGCAATTTACATTTATACATTATTGTCGTTATTATGTAATAATTATAATGAAATATAGATTATATTTGTATTATATATATTACACATAATGCAATATAATTATCTTCATCTTGCCTTGCCAATGATCATCAAGCCAAACGTAACGGCCGGATTAACATGTCCACCGGAAACGTGTCCTATTCCTTGGATCGCTGTGGCTACAGCCAAACCAAAAGCCAAACTTATCGCTACTACATTGCCCGTGATCACAGCTCCACAGCCAAAGAAATTCAACAGTAACGTGCCAAGGAATTCTGCAATCAGCGCTCGGTAAAGCCCAGCCTTCTTATCTGTGAGTTCGCCTGCGCCTAGAGCCTCCTTTATGTTCGCCATCTGTAAAATAGTTTGTTCGATTAAGTGACTTCAAAAGACTACGCAAGTACTTACAGACACGTTACGTCTATCTGATATAATAACCGAAACAGGACTCTGTGTTCGCAGGTCGAGTCAGTCGCTGAATGTTTCAACCATAAAAAGCAATGTCTAGTTTTTCGCATAGTTTCGACTACAATTCCCATTTGTTCAGCCAACAGTCCTTGAGTCACTCTTGGCGAAGGAAAAGATACCGAAGGGCAGCTCGAACTTTTTACACAACGTCATTAAAGAACGGTTAATGATCCCGTTAACGTTGATGAATGTAACAAAGATGTTTAGAGAAAGGTCAATAGCATGGAGTCTAACGTCAGTGTATTATAAAAGATGTCCCAAAATTCAAGCAAGATTTGAATTTTGCGCCATTTGTGCGGTAGAGCGACGCCAACGAAGAAAAACAAACAGCGTGACAGTTGACAGTTCAAAGTTATTAAAAATAGAGCACTAAATGAAAACAATGCATCTTCATTGTTGAACAATATCTATAATTTTGAATTAAAAACCTGTGTTTTCTATCAAAATTACTTCTTGTGTGAATTTTGGGACATCCTATATATAATTATATAAAAAGTATAATTGATATCTGGTAACGGTGTGTATACCAAATTTTACGTTATAGACACTTCAGCTTTGTACACTGGTTTTTATCTGTCTTCTTCTTCCATTCTAATGGTCATAAAAATACCTTGTAACTCTGTATAAAAAGCGTCCATGAAGTTGAAATTGTGGCGGAAGTTAATTCATGTTTAGAAAAGAAAATAGTGGCTTTTGATATTATAGTTTCAATTATGACAGTTATGGTCATAAGAAAAACTTGGAAATATTATTTATACGTTCAGTTGATGATGGTAATAAAATTTTCAATCTTCCTTGCTAACAAGTTTGTTTTCTTTGTTAATAATTTATATATATACCTGTTGTATGTACAGAGGATATTAGCAGCAGTAATGGATAGTTTTTTCTAACATATTCTTATTTCTCCAAATATTTTTAGTTTCTGATCAATTTACAAAGAACGTGATATTTAAAGTTGGTATCATTACTTTTAGCAGAAGTAATAAAAATAAAATAATTTCTAAAAGTATAATTTGCTGGTATGAAGACAAATATGGTCAATAATACCGTTAATCTGTTGTTCTTCTTTTTCTATACACATCTCAATGTTGATTGACATTTTATTACTTTTTCAGAGATATTCGCTTTAGCTTTTATTCTTGAAAGTAATAGTCTATTCGTCGAGATTATCTTTGCGGTTTCGTTAAGTTTCTCGCTATGGTTGTTCATTTTATACCTGTTGGATAAATTAACGGTATAGAGGAATGTTTTTGTTGAGAATTCAGAATGTATTTGGAACAACATTAATCGGTAAAGAGAGCGGAATAACACTAAAGACCCAGGTTTAGATTATTTTTAGGTTATCTTTTTTCACGATGATCCGTTACTTAATCTAACCTTTATGCTTCAAGGATTCAAGAAGTTCAGTGCAAAAGTATCTTACGATATATTGTCGATTATTCTTTGTTCTTGTATTATAATAAATACTCTTTTTAATATCTGTTGACATAGTAAAATATCCTTTATTTTTACTATTTTATATTTGTCTAAAACTATATTATATTTTATATTTTATGATTAATATATTTTTCATATTCACTATTTTAATCTAAATTAAAATTTAAGTCTTCCAATAAATCATAACAGAATTTGATTGGTAATCAATATCTTAATGACTATTTCCATTAGCTTGTAAGTTGTACTTATGGATACATTGAATATGTAAAATTGTCAATATAATTGTTATTTATTAATAAAAAAACATTTTTCTTTGTTTCTAATGTGTTACCTGTTTATTCCTTCATTATGTAATAGTTTGTTATTATGGGAGGCGAGGGTGGGGTGAGGTGGATAGATTTTTTGCAAAAAGTAATTGACCAAAATTACTATCCTCCATTCCTTCCCTTCCTTTTCTTATAGCCAATTCTTCCAGATGAGCTGGCAGTTTTAAGTACATGATTGTCAAAAATTTGTTTTGCTTTTTTGTTTCAATTTAATTCGATGAGGTGACTCATTATCAAAGCAATATTTCGCTGAATTTTCTTCTTCTTTGTATTACAATATCTTCAAAAAACAAAAATAAAAATTTCTGGAATCCTAATATTTTTCTATTCAATAATTATTTATCTATAAAAATTAAAAAGAAAAAATATCGAATTCGATTATATCTAATTTTAAGTATATTATTTTAATATCAAAATATACAATATCTTTCCTCCAAAATTTTAAAAATAAATTTGGTTGAATTGAAAGTATGAGATTTTGTCAGATTAGATTTTCTTACGGTCGCAGAAAATGCATTCGTGTATATGCACAGAAGCATAATATTTATCTGTTGCATTTACTTTTTCTCACATTCATATTCTTCATCCACCAAAGGGTAAAAATTTTGTTTACTACTTCTGCAATAAAATTATTCGTGTGGTTAATTATAAATCAACATTATTTATTAATAAATTGTTTTGAATATTTTAATAAATATTGTAATACATTACATAATATATAAGTACATTATTGTATAATAATAATTGCATTATTAAATAAAATTTATTTATTAGTAATTTAAACTTTTTAAATAGTTTAAATTCCGTTATCAAATTACGTACAATTATACCCGTTATTTTTTAAATACCAGTCCATATGATAATCATCAAAAGATTCCATTACCTCGAAATTGTCATTAATATTCGAACGTATGAGATCGTTTCTGATCTATCGTTCATTAACCACTTTGAAAATGAAGCCGGTCGATCGTTTAGCAGTTCCGTTGATTCGCGTAGTAGATTTAGATCGAGGACGCGGGTACGTATACGCACACACGTGCAGTGGCTGCATGCGTGTGCTCCGCACCGTTACGAGTTACGTCGGAGAAACGAAACGTTAGGTTAACGAGAGACGCGTCCAGGTTGAATTACGCATGCAGATCGTCATATCCTCGACAGAGTGTATGACAGGCGGTCCCGATCGCCTCGAATTATTTAATCATTCCCTGGATAAAATGCCCTGGACGGGGCTAATCGTCACCCACGCCGTCGCGTTTAAAGTCTTGCGTACTCGACGCAAATATCTTACACGCAGATCTAGGTCGGTCATCTTCTACCCTTTCTTAATTTTCATCCTACCTTCGACGATGAACGAGTTCGTTATGGTCCATTTTCTAATAAAACTCCCTGTTCGAGCTTCTCGTTTTCAAGTGTAACAACGTGAATGAAGTGCCAGTAGAAAAGTGTACGATGATTACAGGACAATAACGTGTAACCTGCGAGATATCGTGCACGTGTTTAGGTTAGGAAGGCTCGAAAGAACGCGACACTTGCTCGATGCAATGATTGATATAATTCGCGTGAGATCATCCGTGTGCAAAACGAAAGACAGTGACACGCCACTCCATCTCGCGTAATTTCCACGCTACCTCAAGCGTTACGTGCGCATGCGCAGTAATCGTTCACAGTTACTTTTTCTCTTGTCCTGTCTTTTTCTCGCGATAACGATGCGTGTATATGTATATAGGATAGCGAACGCTACGTTGCTTCTTGTTTTGTTTATTTCAATCGTACGACTCGAACGTGTGAAAAGTTACGGTAAACGATCTTTTGATTTAGTCTCGTTATGCAAATGGTAATGAAATTGTACTATTTCTTTATAAATCTTTCATAATTATAGTACAATGTTAATGAATTCTAGAATGCTCCAAATAACATTTAATAACAATGATTTCAGTGGAATATGTTCACGATTACGGTTTACAAAGGTAACCGAGCAAGTTACTTTATCTACGTTCGTGCTATGTGTAAGTTTTTTGTCACGTAGAAAGCCAAGGAAACTGCATCACGGATATATTAAAGAAACGTTTCGTTGACGATCATTTTACGTCGATTGATTAAAACCGTCAATCGCCCGATTGGTTCGTTGACATTTAAGCAGCCTTTTAATTTATTAGTCCTCGATTTTCATACGTATTCAAAATGAAATTCGAGATCCGGTTTGAACAAATAAATTATCGAATCTAAAACTACCGAATCGATTATTCTCCGATCCAAAACATGTGCTACGCGTGTGTCATTAAAAATATCGTTTAAATTTCGTTTAGCTTGGTATATGAGGGTGTTCGATATTTTTCGATGATGTCACGCTTCGAGGTTATTCTTTCTCTCGTGCAACGTGGTTCCATTTTACGACTTACATTCGCGATCCTCCAAATTTTTTTGCGATAATTTTTCTCTCCGTTCTTGATCTATAAATATAAACCTGACGTTTCTTTTCCAGTCGAAGCAGATTAAAATGTTATCAACGTTACGTATATTCTATGGAATTTGTGTAAATATCAAATACGGATTTTTCATAACTTACATATAATTTAAATTTATTAAACATTCTTTCATTCGCTTTTACGAGGTTATTAAACGTATAGTCATTATACAATTTTCCTGATGGGTTCTTGGAATTCAGTACTGTAAACAGAATCATTTACCTTAGATTCTAAGCGACCTCATTAAATTACGTGGTATTTTTCCCTGGCTTTTATTACATCGCGTACATTTGTTTGAGGATATCGCTTTGCGTCCTTTCCTGGATATCGTTTAACCGGATCTATAGTAATACGGAGATGTGAAAGAGGATGTAACAGGAACTTGTTAATTTTCTCGCCCAAGAATGGCAATTACGGTGAATGTACTCGTATCTAAAATTCCGATTTCCGATTCGCGCGTTTATTTTTCTGTTACCCTTCGATCGGCCCGTAAAAGCAACGGAAACCGGTCGATTTCACATAAATCACTTGTTCTGCGATTTATCGTCGCGCGCTCCTCACCCATGATGGTCGTTATCCCTATATGGTGCAGTACAGGTGCGCGATATCTCTCCTTATCTCTTCTCATCTCTTTCTCTCTTACCCTCGTTTCTTTAATCGGGATAAAGTGCTATTAAAAGTTTTCTTACTGTCTTACGTTAGCTTGATACGTTTATTTGAAATTTCGCGTAAGACGGGTTTTTTCTTTCGCATTTTCCAATTACTTCTATTTATGGTGGATCATACATTAGGGTGTGGCCACAATGACGGTGCTGCCAGAAATGACTCGAGTCCTTGGGCAAAAAAGAATTAAACGCGTGGAATCGAAATATTTTTTATTTTTTATAAATTTATTTATTTTTTTTATTTTTTTAGTGTTAAATATTTTTGAAAATTGAATATTTTTTGGAAATTGAACGTATCGATGATAACCCGTTTATAATAAATTTTTAGCGTTTCTGGTTTTGATTTTAGTTATTTAATCGTTATATTTTTTAATTTTTATCCGAAAATTTGATTCTAATATTTAATTTTGATTTTAATACCGATATCTCAATTTTAATTCTAATATTTTACAATTCATAATTATTTCAACAAAGGAATTGTTGTTAAAGCGTTATTTCTGTTTAATGAACTTTTTAGTCTCCACGTTTTCAATATCTAAAAACAATAAATCATTTTTTTATTTTATTTTTCCAATCGATATTTTCAATATTATCAAAGTGTATTTTCAATTTTGCTTTTAGCTCACCATAGAAGAATACTAGGGTGTGTTTCCAATTAAGCGAAATGTATTCTCGAAATCGATTTCCTCGAAACAATGAGACCTCGAATAAAAAAAATGTGATTCCATGTCGTCGAGTTATTTTTGTACCAGAAATCATTCTACGTCTAGTTGCACCATCATTGCATCCATACTTTATGTAACAGGATAACATAATATCATATTCTGTGTATATTAAGTATTTATTTTCTATTCTCCGAATTTCTCTCGATATTTTGTATTCTTTCAGATCGTAAAAGATACATATGTATCTGTGTACATATATATTCCTGGATGCTTCCTTCTTTTTGGACAAGCATACCATGTTTTCAAAGGCTCCTGAACCGGTAGCAGACACCACTCCCAGTCCAACTAGTAACGTAGCGATTCTACTTTTCAGAAGAGCTAACAGAGACTCTTCTACTGTCACCGTTTGCAAAGTTGTCTTTAAGTGCCTTTCGTAATTTTTGGAAGACGCATGCAAAATGACTGCTGCTGTTTGGCTAACCTATTTATCTTTCATAAAACTATTCTGAGAACACGCGATACAGGTGAGCAACCAACGATTCTTTAATTTTGCAACACCGTCAATCATAATCTCGCATAAGTTAGTAGCATAAACTTTTTATCTATAATTAATATCCTTTTTTTTGTTTCAGATAAATGTTTTCTGGAACAGTTGCCACGCAACGTGTGTACACGTGTGTATGTATGTACATAAGTTATACAAAGTACAGTTATAATCATAGATCTTTCTGTTATAATTATCTAGTACGAGCAAGCATAATTGTTGATAGAGGAGAAGAAGCCACTTGGTATAATTTTGAACGAAAAATCTATAGGATAAATAAATTCGCTTTGTATGGTAAAAGGTAGTTTTGATAGGTTCAAATAGTTAACTGTTGGAAATTATAGAAATTTGTCCATTAAATAATTGATTCTCAAGTCTAATAATATTTACTACTTGTGAGTTTTCTTACAATCTATACAACGTTTAGTAAAAATAGAAGTGTTACTTTGGCATTTATTAACAGGAGTTATAGTACATATTGTGTCTTTAAGAGTGATTGCACTTTAGTACAGCATTCTTTATGTAGTGACAGTTCACTGTCACAATTATTCTTGTCTTATCATACGATTAATTATATGAACAACATTATGTTATTTTGTTATTTCAGTCACATTAAGTTTCACAAAAACATAATTTCTTCACAATTAAAAAAAAAACAAAAAGTTTCTAATATAACGTAAACAACGAAATGACAGTTTATTAATATAGTGGTATTTACATGACAAAAGGAATAGTTTTCTGCACTAGGAAAGAACAGTCTTATGCACAGTTGATAGAATTATAAATTAATATGGACGAAAGTAAACATCAAAGGTTTATCATGAATCTACAAGGAGTTTAAGTCAAATCAAAGAAATTAATAAAAAATCGAGGAACAAGCACACTCACCCTGAAGATGGTCCAGGTCAGTCCACAAGCAACGTAGTTGTTTTAAAGACTTTTCTGTGACTTTTTCAGCCGCGGATCCTGTCACAAGCTTTGCGATGGCAGCTCTCGGAAAAGCGAATGCTCTGCAAGAGTTACTGAGCGACAACTGTCGAGGCTCCCGAGCATAGAAACCAACTGGTCTCACGTAGGTATCTAACTGCGTCTGTTCTGGTACTCTGCTAGATGCTACCAGAGTAGGGATATCACGGTTAAAACGAACGACGATCTCCAGGTAACACCGTTGTTTTAATTCTGCAGTCGCACAATACATAACTCGCTGTGACTTAAATGCTAATTATTATTATTTGATCACCAAATAACTGGAATTTTCTAGCATTTCACGAATACCATTGACGTTTTCAATCTCGTACTTTGGATATAACTGATCGAGACGGTATTCTCTTGTAGAACGAGAGTAAACAAAATGAAGAAGGAACTTAATATTTGTCGATTTGGATTTTCTATCGTATGCGATACGAGAATTGCTATGATGAACTAACAATAAGTGAGACGGAAGTGTGTCAAGGGATGACGTAATTTTTTGTGAGTAATTAAACACGTATAAAATAGATTTAGTGCTTCAACATTTCATATAATTCTATTACATATATAATTCAAGTAATAAGCCAATAAAATTGAATTGCAGTAATATAGAAAGTAAATTAACAACTTGATCTCGTTGTAGTAATTAGCTAAATGAATTGTATTAATTTAGATTTTAATCTTTCTTTAAAAGGTATAAGCATATGACCTGCGGTGACCATCGTTCACGCAGCCGCCGCTAGAGGGATTCGACTTTGAAGTTTCTCGCAAGTACTTGGCAAACCTTCCACCTCGTATAAATAGAGGTTTCCGAATCAATATCATCCGACGTCTAAGGCTCGGGCTTGCTAGGTAGCTATACTTTGATCAGGTGTCGCTTTACTTAGCAGGCCTTTTAGGACGAAACGTTTTCATTATACATACTACTACCCCCTCCGTTCCCCTTTGCGCCTGAACTTTAATCCCCAAAGTAAGAATTGAAAGCAACAGTGTGTGAGAGGGAGGGGGGGAGGGATGTTGTCCCTACAACAGTTTGGAGTTTTGAAAAACACCACTCCCTTGGGGGTGATCCCCAGCCTCGCATCCTTGCGTCTAAGGCTCGGCCTGACTAGGATTTAGCCTTACTGATGAGTCCTTCTAGTCAGGTCTCAGGACGAAACGCATATTTTTTCCTCTTTTACTCTTTATGTTAAATAATCTTTTTCTTTAAAGATAATGAAATCAATGATTTACTTTAGTAAATGATACAAGTTTGATCGACGTGACAAAAA